AAAGTGCCAGACTTGATTTTTGTTGGACTGACCTGATGAGGGCAGCAATGCGCCTTTGATACTTCCAGTCTACCGGAAGTTCAATAGAAGAAGAATAGCGGAAATGATGCCGTTCAGCGCTTGCATCGTGAATGAGTTTTGTTTGAAGAATTTAGTTTGAATGTATCGGTTGTTGTAGCAATAATGTCTTCAGTTCTTCATCTGAGAGAGTTTATAGAGGGGAGATTAACTGCTGCCGCAGAACAAATCTTCTCAGAGTTTGAAAAAACGATCGTCCGGTATGAGGAGGAGATCAGTCGGCTAAGACTGCTGGATATCAGACCCGGGATAAAGTCACACAGTACAGGTGTGGGGATTTCTGTTATTAGTAGTAAATTCGTGCGTTGATTTACAATAGTTTTTAATATAATCAGCCAATTACATGACAGCAGTCAATGCATTTCGGCATGTAGACGTGGTCAAGATGACCTGCTGTTAGTTCAAAGTGAGCGTCGTTTTGGGGAGGCGAGTTGGATTTAAATTACTTTGAGCGTGGTGTGGCTGTTTGTGCCACACTGGCTGGTCTGTGTTTCAGAAACTGCCGATCTGCACAAACGTCTGTATGATTTAGAGAGAGTGGTCCGAAAAGAGAAATTATCTAGTGAAGGCAGTTCTTTGTTTATGTCAGAGAAGAATGGGGAGACTGCTTCAACCTACAGGAAGGCAACAGTAGGTCCAATTATGACTTTTTGCAACTAAGATATGCAGAAGAGAATCTCTGAATACACATAACTAGCATTGTGTACCTAATAAAGTGACCACTGAGTGTGCATTGATTAGTAAAATATTAGAAAATTAGCATTAACATATACCGGCCTTCTTAAAATGCTGTAGGTTTTCATGATCATATTCTAATCATCCTGTTGTTCATTTGTTTGTATGTTTTTTTTCTTTTATTTATTTATTTATTTATTTATTTTACATTGTGTGGTAATCACTGGCAGTCACATCTAAAAATTGGACCACAGTTGTGCAGCTGCAGGGTTAATAACAACACCCAATCAACAAATAACTATGAGTAAATGTTTCTCTGGCAAAGTCTGCAAGAATGGAAGAATCCATGAAACCATAAACTTAATTCTCCATAGGTGACTATTGTCACTATTTTCTTGTGTCCCTTTGTTGAACACGAAGGTCTGGATGAGCAGCAGGTCTGTGACCAGGAGGGGAGCTCCAGTCTCAACCAGCAGGACCCAGAGCCTCCACAGACTAAAGAGGAACAGGAGGAAACCTGCAGCAGTGAGGAAGGAGAGCAGTTTGAACTGAAGCAGGAGGCTGAAGGCATTCATGTCTGGTCAAGGGAAGAGCTGACCACAACAGGTATGCAAAACTGTAATATATTATTATTATTATTATTATTATATAATTCAGAAATGAATATGACTCATATAAAAACATCACATGATGAGCTCACAAAGACAGGCGGTGTGCATTTCTGCCTGGGATACTACCTCACTGAAGACATGTTTTGTGTTAGTACAGTAAAATAAAAACTGGGTTTTAAATCTATATTTTATTTTCTGCATATAGATTTAAGTCATGTTGGCTCAGAACTGTACGCAGAATGTAGGAAAACCGTTGAGGCAATGAAAAATGTGGATATTGGCCACAAGGACCAAGTTGGACTAGTGATTTGTACGCCTCATAAATGATGACTTTCT